CATGCCCATGCCCTCCCATGCCCATGCCCTCCCATGCCCATGCCCTCCCATGCCCATGCCCTCCCATGCCCATGCCCTCCCATGCCCCATGCCCTCCCATGCCCATGCCCTCCCATGCTCATGCCCTCCCATGCCCCATGCCCTCCCATGCCCCATGCCCTCCCATGCCCCATGCCCTCCCATGCCCATGCCCTCCCATGCCCATGCCCTCCCATGCCCCATGCCCTCCCATGCCCATGCCCTCCCATGCCCATGCCCTCCCATGCCCATGCCCTCCCATGCCCATGCCCTCCCATGCCCATGCCCTCCCATGCCCATGCCCTCCCATGCCCATGCCCTCCCATGCCCCATGCCCTCCCATGCCCATGCCCTCCCATGCTCATGCCCTCCCATGCCCATGCCCTCCCATGCCCATGCCCTCCCATGCCCATGCCCTCCCATGCCCATGCCCTCCCATGCCCATGCCCTCCCATGCCCATGCCCTCCCATGCCCATGCCCTCCCATGCCCATGCCCTCCCATGCCCATGCCCTCCCATGCCCATGCCCTCCCATGCCCATGCCCTCCCATGCCCATGCCCTCCCACGCCCATGCCCTCCCATGCCCATGCCCTCCCATGCCCATGCCCTCCCATGCCCCATACCGACCATGCCAGCACACCAGCACACCTCTGCTCCCCTTTCCCTCCCCCGCTCTCCCCCCCTCCCCAGCATCGGGGCACAGCAGCTCGTGGGAGTGCTTCTTCGCGCCCATGGTGTCCCCCGCGTGTGACACCCTCGTGCGGCGCCTCATGGCCACACCGGAGGGTGCGGGTGTGAAGGAGTGTGCGTCCGTGGACTACGATGGGCTGCCTGCCTTGAACGACACAGTGGTGTGTGTCAGCCCCCTGCGCGTGGACCGGCTCAAGCTCGAGTCCCGTGCCACCAGGTAGGGGGGTGGGGGGGGGGTCTTTGAGAGAGAGCGAGAGAAAGAGAGAAAGCAGAGGGGGAAGTTGAGTCCGCGCATGAACCGGCTGAAACTGGAATGTATGTCAGCCGGTTCAATGTCATAGAAATATCTAGGTGGGGTATCTTAGATATACTCTTAGTAGGCTTGCAGCGGTTCGAATCCAGCCGTTTCACAACTGTCAGTTGGTGCGGGAAGTGGTGGTGGAGAGCGGGAGGATGTGGAGGGGGAGTAAAGGGGAAGAGGAAGGGGGAATGGAAGGCAGGAGGTTGGACTCTGAAGGAGGTGCAGGAGGAAGCAGGAGGGAGGAGGGTTCATGTGTTTTGAATCTTGAGGAAGTGTGGTTTGCTTAGGTTTGGGTTGCTTCGTTTTGGTTTGTTTACACTGGGTTTCCTGTGGTCAGATCGTGAGTTGGCTCCAGTGTGTGCGGGGTAAAGCGGGACAGCCCTGCTTTTGAGGCTTGCCATGGGTTAGCTTGATCATACGTGAGCATATACGGCTTGAAGCGGGCTACCTGTGTTGTTGCTGGCTTTTCTTTAGAAGTTTCTGAAAACGCCTGCAGAAGTGAGAGCAAGTTGTGCTGATTGTGCTGATTGTCCTGAGCAGAGCTTTTGAGAATTTTCATACGCAGAGCTTCTGTGTTGCATGTTCCCGTAGTCCTTCCGAGACACGTCCCGAAAGCTTTGACAAGTCTCAGGCACACAAACCCGGCATGTTCCTCTGCTCCTGTGCTCTGTGCCCTTGGCGTGGTGGTGGTGGTGGTGGTGGTGGTGGTGGTGGTGGTGGTGGTGGTGGTGGTGGTGGTGGTGGTGGTGGTGGTGTGTGTGTGTGTGTGTGTGTGTGTGTGTGTGTGTGTGTGTGTGTGTGTGTGTGTGCGCGCGTGCGTGTGTGTGCGTGTGTGGGTGCATGTATGTGCATGCATCATCTGCCTGTGTGCGTGTGTGCATGCGTGTGCGCGTGTGTACATGCATGCGTGTGTGCATGCGTGTGTGCGTGTGTGCATGCATGTGTGCGTGTGTGCATGTGCATGCACCGCGTGCAGTCTATGGGGAACGCCGCACCTGGATCGGTTGGATATGGTGGAGTACATGGGGGGCATGGAGCAGGACGACGACTTCAAGATGCTCGAGGTGGGTAAATTATGTCTATGACGTGTGTGGGTGGGGGGTGGTGGTCCGACCCTCAGGGACCGTTGCCCACAAGGCTGCCGCATATTCTGAGGGTCATTACAGAAGTGTTTTGCTGTCTTGCCGTTGGCTTGGCCCCTCCCGCTCCTCTCAAACTCCCCCTCCCCTCCCTCCAGGACAGGACGAACGACGAACATGACAGCAAAATAATAATAATAATAATAATAATAATAGTAATATTGATACTTATAATAATAATAAAATAATAAAAATAGTAATAATAGTAATATTAATATCAGTAATAATAATGATAATAATATTAATAAACTCCTCTCCCCTCTCGCCTTTTCCCTGCGCTCCCATCCTCCACCCTGCTCCTCTCTCCTCCTCCCCCTTCTCCACCCTCCCCAGGTGCGCTGGTGGCGAGCGCAAGCCACGCGCTTCATGCTGCGCTGGCCGTCCGCGTACCTCTGCCACGTGACCAACCGCGTGCGCCACTCCTCCTACGGCGTGCACGCCGCCATGCACCTCTCGCGCTTCGAAGAGGAGCGAGCGGAGATCCTAAGACTAGTCGCCGCGGGAGACCCCGTGCGGTTTCTGGTGAAGGACACGGATGGGAAGGCGGATTTAGATGGGGCTGCCAAGGCCCAGGCGAAGGCGCTTTCAGAGTTGAGCGGAGGGAGCACGCTGGAAGGGCAAGTGTGGCCGGCGAAAGGGATGGAGGGCTGTGCGTTTGACTGCGGGCCGAACGGGGAAGGGAGGTGGAAGAGGAAGGAGGTGCAGGGGATGCTGCAGGGCGTGGGCGGGGAGGTGTATGCGCCGCGGCCGATGGTGAGCGTGCACGTGCGGCAGAGCGACAAGTTCAAGGAGATGACGTTGCTGTCATTCGCCATGCACATGTTCTTTGCTCAGAGACTGCGAGCTGCCGTGCCGGATCTGAAGCACGTGTGGCTCAATACAGAGATGGAGGTGCGTTGAAAGAGGGGAGGGAGGGGAGGGGATGGAGGGAGTGGGAGGGAAGGGAGGGGATGGAGGGAAGGGAGGGAGGGGAGGGAAGGGAGGGAAGGGAGGGAGGAGAGGAGGGATTTTAACAAAGGGGGGGGGGGGGGGGTGTGAAAAGGGGGAAGGGGTGTTCGAGGCATCGCATCATCTCAGCTTTTTTCTTTTGACTAGCACAGAGATGGAGGTGCATGGGGAGGAGAGGAGTGGAGGGGCAGGGGAGGGTGAAAAGGAGGTAGGGAAGGAAGAGAAGGAGGCGTGTGTTGATGATACCATGTCATCTTGTGGTCTTATGCACCATCCCTGCCACTGCAACGCTCCTTGTCCTGCTGTGGAACGCTCCCTCCCCTCCCCCCACCTGCGCCCTCCAGTCCGTGATAGAGCAGACGAAGCAGTACCCTTCCTGGCAGTTCCAATACTCCACCAACGCACGCCGTACCCATGACCCCACACCACACCCCCTCTCCCCCTTTCCCCCTCACTCCCACCCCTCCCTGCCCTCCCCCCCCACCTGCCTCTCCCAGTCCGTGATCGAGCAGACGAAGCAGTACCCGTCGTGGCAGTTCCACTACTCCACCAACCCGCGCCTCCCCCCCGGCGCCAACGACACGCGCGCGTACGAGTTCATGCAGGACGTGGCCGTCAGCCTCGCCAGCGTGCTCATTGCCGCCGAGTGTGACTACTTTGTGGGCTCGCTCGAGTCGAATTGGAGCAGGCTGATCAACGAGTTGAGAAGCACCAACGGGAGGCTGTATGCCGGGTTCATTGCACTCAACATCGGCCTCTGGTGAGGTGTCGTGTGGTGGAGACTGGAGTGCTCTGCTCTCATTGCCTCGGAGTGCGACTACTTTGTCTGCTCGCTCGACTCGAGTCCAACTGGAGCAGGTTGATCAATGAGTTAAGGAGCAATAATGGTAGGCTCTATCTATGCCGGTTCATTGCGCTGAATATTGGACTGTGGTGATGTGAGGCGCGGTGGAGTGCGGTGGAGCCGGTTTGCGGTGCAGTGTTGTGTGGTGAGAGGTGAGGGTGGTGTTGTGGCAACTTGTGGCCAACCGTATTGCTATTCTTCAAAGGATCAGTCAGAACCTACTAACGGCATACCTATGGAGACAGTTGAATAACCAGAATCGTTGTGATCAGGCAGATACTGTTAACTTTCAGCACCCTTCATAACTAACACCTCCATTTCCAAAGGCGGCACCTTTCAAGTTCATGTTACCTGGTTCTAAACTTGTGACTGAAAATTACAAATGCTAAACAGGGCTGATGTTTGTCAGAGTTACTTTCTGTTGTTTGTCAAGTACATGCTGAACATTTACTGGTACGAACTTCAGTTTCTGAGCCATGGCCCATGACATGACCATTGTTGTTCCAAGAACTTGCTGAGGGATAGATAGGCACTAATATCAACCATAGCTTAAAGCCTGGCACAAAGCAAAGCACAAGCACACCAAGCTATTGTCCCGATTACATAGCACTACGATCCAGTCACACATGTTGTGGACCATAGAAAACAAGCAGAGCAGACTATGCAGCTGGATGACAATAAGCGTCTTGCAAGGCGAAACAAAGCTCAAAAGAAAGATGATAACAGCTCTAAAACGAGAGCTACACTCTCCTGAAGGACCACGAGAGCAAGGGAGCATGGCGATCTTACAAAGCATTGCGCAAAGTGAGCAGATGGGGGGGGAGAGGGTGTGAAGGGGGTGGAGTTTGAAGGGTCAAGGGGTTAGACAAGGTGAGATGGAGGGAGGCTGGGCGGAAGAGGGGGGAACATGAGAGCATCCTTTTTTGAGTCGAATGATAGCATGGGCGCTGCTCTGCTCCTTACACACACAACTAGCTACAGGTAACAGCGCTCATAGATTTATAAGTAGCTGGAGAAACACTGAACTGACGACGCTGCATTTCCCCTCCCACCACCACCTCACTTGCCGTTACCAGCACCAGCGGCAGCAGCAGCAGCAGCAGCAGCGGCAGCGGCAGCAGCAGCATTCCCAGCAGAAACAGCAGCGGCAGCAGCAGCAGCCTTGCCGAGCCGGTCCTTGTGCCCGGCAGCGAGACGCATGAGCTTGTGCGCATGCGTGCTCATGCCCTGTGCGTCTGTGGCCACTTCCACAGCAGCCTTCTCTGCCTCCTGCAGGGTCCGCAGCAGGCGTGTGTTGGTGTCCCTCTCCTTGTCCAAGGCATGGCGCAGAGATGCGAGCGTGCTCTGCAGGTGGGCCACTTGGTCCTTGTGCTGCCATGGGGAACAGAGAGGGGGAGGGCAGGCGGAAGGGAGGTGAAGGGGGTGGGAACAAACAGGAGGAGGTGGGAAAGCGGGTGAGAGATGACATACAACGCGTCACTGTGGCAAAGACGGGACTGCAATGGAGCGACAAGGCAAATCATTTGAACCCACTGCATGCATGTGCTTGCAAGCGGACACGACCAGAGCCAGCCCTCCACAACCGCGGTACTAGAGCCTACGAGGATTGCGCTTCAAGATCAGATCAGACTCTGGCTTTGTCAAGAGCGATACACACATTTGAGGCACGAGTGGGTGCAGACAAGGGTGCAGCGAGTCTCTTACTCTGCATCTTTTAAGCCAGGATTTTCGATCATCGTTTTGAGTCGAGTCTCTTACTCGTGCTCAACATTTGAGTCGAGTTTCCAGTGGGCACAAGTATCGTTAAATGCAGAGACAAGGCAGGGGGTTGTCTCACCTGGGTGACCTCTGTGAGGCGCAGCGCCTTGAGGTCCGTCAGTTCCTCCAGCAGCGACGCACTCTCAGATGACGACTGGGTTGGGCAAGGGGAAGGGGGAGGGGGGGAGGCACGGGTAGAAGGGGAATGAGTACAAGGGAGAGAGTAGGGGAGATGTTGAGGCCTGTGCGCTTCCTCCAGCAGCGACGCACACTCGGATGAGGGCTGGGTGGAAGGGGGTTTGGGAAGGGGCAGGAGAGTGCAGGGGGGGGGGAAGGCGTATGTTTGAGTTGACTTGTGCGTTCACCAATATAACCTTGCAACGTATGTGTGAGCTTTTGAGACACCCCAAAGTGAGCTATGAGCTATCCCCACAACGAGCACATTTTTGGATAATGACTGGGGAGCGTGGGGAGGGAAGGTGAAAGGCAAGATTCGAGGATAACGGATGAAAGACTGATGAGGAACGACAAGGTTCAATGATAACAGGCAAAGATGGAACGCGCACGGATGATAAGTGGCCAGAACGCGAGAAAGCGTGAAACACGTATGAAGCTTCTTATGGAGCAAAATGTACGCTTGTGAGTGACTTCGAGTCCACGTGGAAAAGGAGCCTCAAGCTAAAGACAAGCGGCAATCTAAGATTCATGTAGGTCTATTTGCATTCAAAACAAGTCATTGGCTTTCGAGCCTTCCCGCTTTGCCAAGGATGGACCATATTAACTTTCCCCACGCAAACTCCATGCAAAAAAGGTTGGTCCATGCAGAACAGGAGAAAAGAAGAGCCAAGGTTACATTATCCAGGGATGGACTGAGCTCAACCCCTTGCTATCATTTCCCCTTGCTGCCGAGGTGACTGAGTGGTAGGTTGAATGGTTGAGCTTAGTTGAGTTGCCCAGGGATGTGGGGGATCGACAATAGCTGAGATGACACCGAGTTGAGAGACGCCTAAGAACCAGCTGGCTGATAGGTGTGACAGCTAGGCTCATGCAGCGCAAGTACACACACAGCATACCACCATGCACGCCCCCCCCATGCATTCCCCCCCCATGCATGCCCCCTCCCCGTGCATGCCCCATTGCCCCATGCATGCCCCTCCCTTACTGCCCCCCCCCCTCCCATGGACATACCTTGCGCATCTGTTGCTGCATGACCTCCACTGTGGACTGCAGGGCTCGCACTGACGCCTGCCGGCCGGGATGAGGGGTGCAGGGGGGCCAGGAGGGAGGGAGGAGGGAGAAATGAGAAATAGAGGGGTGGAGTGCGATCAGCTGGTACAACACGGAGGCGGTGCAAACGGGGAGCAGGAGGGGGAAAAGAGAGTGGACGTAGAAGCAGACAGAGTAGTGAGTTGCTTCAGAACACAGGTAGTAAGCTGGCTGGAATGGATTGGCTTTTGAGGAGCACGAGAACCTGACGGAAAGGAGGGTTCTTTTACTAGAGGCACGCTGCATGCATGCATGTTGTAAGACTAGAGACTTTCGAGATGCACGTCGTTTCCAGCGCACCTACGCAGCAAGAGAGGCGTACCTGAGCAGCAGAGAGCTCGCCGTGAAGGTTCTGAATGGCGTGAGAGCCATTGGACTTCTGTTGTGGGTGTGGCGCGGGACAGGGGGATTGGACGGGCAGGGGCGAGAGCAGAAGACAAGGGAAGAAAAGACGAGTGGATAGAAAGGCGATGAAGCGATGTGTGGGACATAAATAATGAGAAGCAGAAGGAGAAGGAGAAGAGAAACAATGAGAGGCGTAGAGAGGAGAGAAAGGCAGCTTGGAAAGCGACTGACTGACTGACCAGCGCATGGGACAGCAGCTTGTGCTCGAGGTTGGAGTGCTCGAGCGCGAGCTTGAAGGCGTCTCTCTCGTACTCCGCCTCGCCCAGCACCTCGCCCATGCTCTCCTTCTCCGCCTTCACGCGCTTGCTCTCCGCCTCCACCGCCACCATGCGCGTTTTCAGCTCATCCAGCTCGTCATTCAGCGCCTTGCACCGCTCGTTGCTCTGCTGGCGGGCAGTGGCGAGTTCCCTGCGCGCGGCGAGCAGCTGGGCGTGCAGCCCGTGAAGCTCGTCCGTCATATGCTCCTTCTCCTTCTGCCACTCGTCCTGCTGCTTCCGCATCTCCTCCCGCTCCTTCTCCCGCTCCTCCTCCCGCCGCTGCTCCGCGGCTCGCAGCCTCTCGCGCTCCTTCTCCCGCTGCTTCTCCATCTCCCTCTCCTGCGCCCGCTTGCGCTCCTTCTCCCTCTCTCTCTCCCTCTCCTTCTCTCGGAGCAACTCCCTCTCCTGGTTTGCTGCCTGCTCTTTCTCCCATAGACGCTCCAGATCTTGAACCCTCACCCTCTCCCTCTCCCTCTCCTCCTGCCGCTCCTGCTCCCGCCGAATCTCCCTCTCCCTCTCCTCCGCCCGCTGCTTCTTCTCCTCCTCCCTCTCCTTATGAATCTGAAGCTCCCTCTCTTCCTCTCTCTTCCTCTCCGCCTGTCGCTTCTTCTCACGCGCTCTCTCCTGCTCCCGCTCCTTCTCCCTCACCCTCTGCCTCTCGACCTCCTCCGCTCGCTCCCTCTCTCTCTCCCTCTCCCTCTCCCTCTCCTCAGCCCTCTCCTTCTCTCTCTGCGCCTCTCGAATCCTCTCCTCAGCCCTCTCCTTCTCCCTCTGCCTCTCCCTCTCCCTCTCCTCAACCCGCTCCCTCTGCCGCTTCCTCTCCCTCTCCCTCTCCGCCTGCTTCTCTCGCTCCCTCTGCACCTCCCTCTCCCGCTCCCTCGCCTTCTCCTCCTCCCTCTTCCTCTCCACACCCCCAATTCTCGCCTGCCCCTGCAGCACCTCCCTCTCCCTCTCCTTCTCCCTCTCAATCAACCGCCGAATCTCCTCCTCTCGCTCTTTCACAAGCTCCAGATCCCTCCGCCGCTCAGCCTCCCTCTCCGCCTCTCGCTGCAACTCCCGCTGCCGAATCTTCTCAACCTCCCCGCGTTCAATCATCAGGTCTAGCTCCCACTGCGCCTCCTTCTCCCTCAGCAGCTGCATCAGCGCCTCTGCTTTCTCCTTCCACTCCGCCCCACCGCCACCGCCAGTGCCAGCGCCACCATCCTTCCAACCACCCTCCTCCTCCTCCTCCTCCTCCTCCTCCTCCTCCTCCTCCTCCTCGTCTTCCTTAAATTCCCCCCTCCTTCCCTCTCCCCTTCCCCACTCCCTCCCTCCTTTCGCCCACCCGTCCGCATCCCCACCCGCACCACTCCCCGCTCCCGCTCCCTCCCCCGCACGCCCCGCCTTCTCCGCCACCGCGCGCAGCTCATCGCGCTCCTCCTCCGCGCGCCTTAGACTCTCCTCAAGGCCCCTCTTAGCCTGCCTCACCTCCTCCATCTCCATCAGCAAATCCTCCTGAATCCGCTCCCTCTCCGTCCGTTCCTCCTGCACCTCCTGCCTCAACTCCTCCTCCTGCCGCTTCATACACGCCACCTCCTCGCGCAACTCTTCCAGCTCACTGCAGCTCATGGTCAGGGCTTTAAGCAGCCGCTCCTGCTCCAGCATGGCGCGGTCGAGCCCGGCTTTAAGAGCGTCGCGCTCCTTGGTGAGAGTGGAGAGGGTTTTCTTGAGGTTTCGCCCCTCGCGCTCCATGGCTTCCAGTCCCATGCGCAGCTGCTCCGCGTCCACCTGCGCGCCTTCCGCCACCTTCTCCAGGCGCCGCACCTCGCTGCGCGCGTGTGGGGAAAGGGTGGGGGCAAGGGGAGGGTGGGTGAGAAAGGGTAGTGGAGCAGACGGTGGGGGAGAGGGGGAGGAGGGAGGGAGGAGGGAGGGAGGAGAGGGAGGGGGGGAAGGGCAAGACATGGGAGGAAGACGCAGCACAAGCACGTATGGACGTGGGTAGGCAGTGGCTGCACGAGAAGGGAAGCGATGCCAGAAGGTGCACATGGGAGGCAGGGAGGAAAGACGAGACACGAGAGCAGGGAGAAACACACAAGGAAAAGGACCCACCCGGCCAGCACGGATCCTCACTCTCGAGCTCCTTCAGGGCCTTCTCACCACTTCTCACCACTTCCCACCTCTTATATCCTCTTCTCACCTCCCCATCCCCATCCACATCCCCCCCTCACCTGCGCAGCTCGCTGTTCTTGCTCTCGAGCTCCCCCAGCGCCTTCTCGCAGCTCCTGTACAGCAACTCCCGCTCGCCGATCTCCTTCTGCTTCTTCTGCTCTCGCCGTCGCACACGCGCGCGTGAGGAGGCAGGGAGGAGGAGAGGGGGGAGGGGGCAGGGGGGAAGGGAAAGGGGAAGACGACGGAAGAGGGGGGGAGGGAGCAGGGGGAGAAAGGTTGAGGTACAATGGGAGGAACGGGGTGTCGAGTTCCCCCAGCGCCTTCTCGCAGCTCCTGTACAGCAACTCCCGCTCGCCGATCTCCTTCTGCTTCTTCTGCTCGCCCGCCGCACAGGCGCGCGCGTGGGTGGGATGATGGGATACACGGGGTGGAGCCGACGGGGGAAGAGAGAGAGGGTGGAGGGGGGAGGAGAGAGGGGGGAGGAGAATGGGGAGAGGGACCAAGGGGCGGGAGCAGGAGGGAGGGAGCAGGGAAAAAGATGGTTGAGGTACGGTGGGAGGAAAGGGCAGTGGGCGGATAAGAGGACTAACAAGAGTTTGGAGTGAGGGAGAGAGAGAGGGGGGGGAGAGAGTAGGGGAGAGGGGGGGCAGAGAGAGGGGAAGAGATGGGGAGAGCGAAGAGAAGGGGAGGGAGAGAGGGGCAGAGAGAGGGGAAGAGATGGGGAGAGCGAAGAGAAGGGGAGAGAGAGAGGGGAAGAGATGGGGAGAGAGAGAGGGGAAGTGGACATGTACACAGGTGGCAGTGTCAAGACGAACGTGCGAGCCAAGCAGCATGAGTTCTCAAAGACATGAGCGGAGGTGGCAGCAGCGAGTCCTTTCGAGGCTTCTCAGAATGTGCGAGCAGGAATTCTGAGAAAGGACATAGCAGCAAGAGGTTGTTGCAGCGCGACGGAGAGAGAATGAGAGAGAGAGGAGAGAGGAGAGAGGAGAGAGGAGAGTAGAGAGGAGAGTGGGGAGAGGAGAGAGGAGAGAGGAGCGGGGAGAGAGGAGAGAGGAGGAGAGAAGAGAGGAGAGAAGAGAGGAGAGAGGAGAGAGGGGGAAGAGGGAAGAGAGAGGGCGAGAGGGAGAGAGGGCGAGAGGGCGAGAGGAAGAGACTGCGAGAGGGCGCGAGGGAGAGAGAGGGCGGAGGGCGGCGACTGACCTCGAGCAGCGCCTCCAGACGCCTGATATCCGCCGATGCCGCGTTCAAACTGCGATCCGCCGCCTCCGCCTGCTCCAGCGCACGGGGAGGTGGGGGGGAAAGCGGAAGGGATGGGAGAAGGGGGGACAAGGGAATGGGAAATGAGGGACGGTGGATGGCAGAGCGTGGGGTAGGTTATGGAGTGCGGGTTGAGGTAGCTGGGAGAGCGAGTATGAATGATAATAGGACCAATCTTCTCTACAGGGAGAGACGTCGCGGAAACTAATCTGTTCTCCACAGGACTGGGAGTATGGAGGAAGAACGAGGGGACGGGGGTTGGGGAGAATGAAGGGGAGGGGAAAAGAGGGGGTAGGCGTATAGCGAGGCTCGTCCTAGGAGATTGGGTGGAGCAGCGAGAGAGGAACGCGATTGCAAGAGACGCATGGCAGACGTGACGCGCATTGCCTTTTCCTGCATTCCCCCTCCCGCATTTCCCCCCTCCCCCGCATCCCGCCCTCCGCGCATTCCCCCTCCCCCGCATCCCCCCCCCTCCGCGCATCCCCCCTCCGCGCATTCCCCCACCGCTCATCCCCCCGCTCACCCGCTGGCGGAACGCCTCCATGTCCGCCTTGGGGTCCCTGCCCAGACTGCTGAGCGTCCACTGCGCGGGGGGAAAGAGGGGGGAAAGGGGGGGGGCAGGGGGGGGACAGGGGGGGACAGGGGGGGGACAGGGGGGGGACAGGGGGGGACAGGGGGGGGAAGGAAATTCGGGGGGAGGGGGAGGGGGAACCGGGGAAGGAGAGGGGGGAATGCGGGGAGCGGGAGGGGGGATGAGCGGAGAGGGGTAGAAGGGGGAGTAAGTGGGGGGCGAGAAAGTGAGACGGGGGGAGGGTTGGTGAGTGGATAGGTGAAGGGCGGTGGGATAAGAAGTTTGGTGCACGGTTGGCGGGAAAGAGAGGCGGACTGGAGGGGAAATCCGCGGAGAAAAGGGGAGGACGGGAGGGTATGTGGAAAAGAGACGGAAGGAAATGGAAGGGACGGAGAGATGGTGAAACATGTGGTGGTGCTTTCAGGATGAGGAACGGAGAGGGAGAGAGGAGTGGGGAAATGAAAGCCAACGGGAGGTTTCAGGGGAGAGCAGAGCGGAAGAAGGGGAGGGGGGGAGTGCAGGACGGACCTTGGGTCCCTTGGCCTTTGACGCGGGTGAGCCCTGCACGCACCGGGCAGCGGGGTCGAGGTGACACACACGCACACGCACACGCACATGCACACACACGCACGCAGGGAGATGACACGGTTCGGTGAGAGACGGACGAGCATGGACAACAGATGAAACGCGCGCGGACGGGAGGAGAGACTCAGTCGGGCAGGAGTTGTGCGACGTCGTTAGATGGACGGCAGCAGGGGGAAGGTGGAGGGCGGAGGGGAGGATATGAGCAGGAGCTGGGAGGGCGATGGTGGAGTATGGAAGATACTAGCCGCTGCGAAAAACGACGAAATCAAACGAGCAGGGCACGGAGCACGAGCATAGGGCCGGGAATAAGTGATTGCGGGGGCGGGAGGGGACGAGGAGAGGCGAGGAGTTGAGACGAGCGAGGGAAGGAGACGAGGGGGACGGGAATGATGGCGGGCGCACCAGGCCGGTTGGGATCGGAGTCGCGTTCAAACTGCCACCGCCGCCGCCGCCGCCATTGCCGCCGCCACCGGCGCTACCAACGCCGGCGCTTCCGCCGCTGCTGCTTCCGCCACCTCCGCCGCTCCCGCTCCCACTTCCGCTCTCCGCAGCGTGCTGCGCGCGCGAGCTCGCGTGGTGCGCGCGCCCGCCAGTGAGCCGGTTCGCGACCGCATTGAGGATGCGCGGAAGGGAATCCGACCGGGGGAGCTCGTCGTCCGTTCCGCTTTCCGCGCCGGAACCCGCGGATGCTTTTCCGCCAGCTCCGCCACTGCCGCCGCCACTGCCGCCGTGACTGCCGCTGCCGCTGCCGCTCCCGCTCCCGCTCCCGCTCCCGCTGCTGCTCTTGCCCTCCTCTTTCCCCGCGTTCGCGCCAGCGGTAGAAGCGGCGGCGTTGGCGCGGCGGGAGTAGCGCGTGAGCGACTCGGATCGCGGGAGCCAATCAGAGCGAGAGAAGCCGGCGGTTCGGCGACCTCCCGAACCTGGGCGAGAGATCTGCGAGGTCTGGGTCTTGACCTGCGCGGTAAGAAGCGACGAGGACGCGGGAGGCGGCTGCGACGATTTTCTCTTGGTTGGAGTGTTTGGTGCTGACGTGGACGGCTGCTGCTGTAGCTGCTGTTGCTGCTGCTGCTGCTGCTCCTGCTGCTGCTGCAGTCGCTGCTGCTGATGCTGCTTGTTGCTCTGAAGGTTGATTGAAGCGATAATTCCAGGGTTGAAATCCGTGGGGGCCTGCACATTACGACGAGGGGGGCGAAAACAGACGGAAATGTTACTTTTGAAGGAGCCTTCGCAGAGACGATATCAAGGCAGGAAAGATCGTGATGATGGCGTTATCTCTCTGAAGAGTATAATTGACTGAAAACAGATGGACGACGCACAACATAGCTTGGAGATGAAACGGAGAATGTCGGAATCAACTGACTTGTTCCATACAACAAATATACTAAAGATACAACGAGTCCCACTGTACCAGGCCAGCGTTGTCCGGAGCAGCTTGCTTCCCCTCCACTTGCTGCTGCGCCAAGGGCTGCACCCGTTTCGACGGCCCCGTGCGCGCTCCAGCCGCCGCCGCAGCTGCAGCATGCTGCAGCAGGAGGCTCCCCGCGCCGGAGAGGGAAGCGGGGAGGGAGGAGTAACCAGTCGCGTCGGAGGGCTGCGGGAGCACCATATCTTCCGCGATTGGCTGCGCGAGAATCGTCGGGCGGAAGGATGTCGCGGTGCCCGGAGAGAGAATACGGCGACCCGCGGAACTAGAAGTGCGCGGGCCGACCGCACCCCTGTCGCGGTTGGAATAAGCGCAAGATGTGGGAGGAGGATATGTTGCAAGTGTTACGTCTATTGATGTCTACAAACGATGACGCCAACAATGCGTCATGCGATTGTACGAGTCAGCGCACACTGATAAAGGCAAGCAGATTAGAACGACGCTGGTCGTGGAAATCTCCCAAGCAAATTCGTAATTTCTCCCTAAAATATTATACCAGAAAACCAAATGAAGATAATCAGAGGAAACGGCTTTTCACGTACCTCGGGTCCTGTCCCCTGGCGGGACCGTTCCGATACGTCGAAGGTATCGTCATCTTGAGCTGATGGTACCGTTCCGATACCTCCTACTGATGATTTTTTTTTTTAACTCAGAGCAGTTGCGCGTGAGGAGCGCCCGAGAAACTCAGCTGATGCGCAGCTTCCCCAAGTACAGCTCGATTGTAAACGACCCCTTTTGACTGCTCTAAAGCACTCCTTGAAATAAGCTAGTGTGGGCTTCACGTCAACAGGCACGGTCTTGTTCGCTGCTGGGATGGGCGGGGAAGAGAAGAAGAGAGAAGTGGGTGGAGGGACGGGACAGCTCGCAAGGCTGCGATTGCACAGCAGAAAGCAGCAATGGACAAAAGTAGCGCCGCCAGGGCGTCGCTTCTAGTAGTTGTTGTGGTGTGCGTGGTGTTCTGGAATGTTTACTGCTTCATACTCTTCCCGTACGTCCCCACTTATGAAATTCTACTGGCGTCGACCGATATTAGCAAGAATCACTCTGCCTACCTACAAAAAACCGTTTGAGAGCACTCGCTTGTGTTTGCGTACTTCTTACGTTGTGAGCAGACCGACTAGAGCTCTTTCTGGAATCAAAGTGTGCTTCAATTGTATTGTGGTACTGCGAACTGAGGGAAACGCGGGATAAAGGGCGTGCATATAATATACCTCACATCGAGTCAGTCCAATTCTATCGTGAAACGCTGGAGAGCTCCAAACGCTGAGAGTAGAACCATCTCGAGCTACGCAAAGGATTAGTGGAAGAATCAGGGAGTGCCAGGTGCGCTCGGCTTGGTTTAGAAAAGCAGGGCAATAGCCTGATAGAGAATCAGGAAAGCATGTCCTATGCGGGCGTAGTTGGGAATAGAGAGTGCCTGGTTGCAGGTGGGAGACTGACGAGGGCAATTCGAGATGCGGGTGCAATGATCGTTACACCATACTGTAGGGGCGAGCTAGAGCCGTCGCGCCATGCGTTACAAGACCAGCTTTGGTCGACGCATACTTGTTGACATGCCTTCGTGCGCCAAACCAGGTGTGTGGTGAACGGGAGCTAAGCTGAGAGTTATGCTCATGTCACTCGGGACAGTCGTTGTTGCAATGTCATCTCCGAAAGGTGGGTAAAGCGGGTGGTTTTTGCGAGGAGGGTTGCAGTTGTGGGCGGAAATGTGGAACCCCTTACTTGCACGAATGTCGAATGCCGTTCGCACCGCCAAGCGCACGAGCCGCGCGAGGCCAAGACGCTGCGCGTATCTGGACTTCTTCATTTCAAGTGGGACTTTTTTGTAAGAAGTGGCAAACCACCCAGACTCTTCTTTTTCTATGAAGTACCCAAACTATCTTGATTGTAGCTGCACTACCAACAGTCTAGTCTTCATAAAGGAAAGCCACACCGGTTCTGCTGCTGAGTCTCATTTCCGACCAGCCAGGGTGTTTCAAACTCATGACCTGCCCCCCCCTGCGTGCCCTCCAACAGCATTTCCTCGGCCATTGACTCCGCGATTGTTCGACGGGGCTGACAAAAAAAACTTTAAAACCAGGGTGCACATTCAACGCGGTTCGGCTTGAGATGTTGGGAAGGGGGTTTGGAGAAAAACAGTGATTGGCTCACGAGGGGCGACAAAAAAATGATTCCGCTAGAGCTTCGGGCATTTCGTAGGTGGCGGGAGGGGGTGAAATGGCAAGTGTGGGTGAAACCGAATGGCGGGAGGGATGAAACAGATTGGCGGGAGGGGGGGGAAACGAAATTGCGGGGGAGGGGGGAAACAAAATTGCGGGGGAGGGGGGAAACGAATTTCGACGGGGAGGGGGAAATGAAATTGCGGGGGCGTGGGGAAACGAAATTGCGGGGGAGGGGGGAAACGAATTTCGACTTGAAGGGGTTGAAAGCACACCTCGTAACCCACTCAGTCAAGGGATAACCTTTGATGCACATTCAGCTGAATGTGCACCCCGGTTTTAAGACAGCACGTCCAAGCCTCGGCCTAACAACGCGATTGTCTGGTTTGCACATTTGGCTTGAGGTGGATGAAACGTCCTCACTACAAATATATGGTTCGCTTCCGTACAACTTCCTCATGATTACTATATACTCTCATATAAATTCCATCCGTCATTATCCGTTATAAGTGCAATGGAGCGAGCAAACAAGGATTGTTGTAAGAAAAAATCCTAATTCCTTACTGATTCACACTGTACGCACATGACTCCAACTTTCATAGGACCAGGTTTGGCCCGACGACCTCGCCTCCCGATCGTAACTTGCGTCGCCTTCGGATCGGACTCACAACCCCGAACCCGCAACCAACCTCATCATCCCGACGATCTTTGTAGAAACTTGTCTTAGTGAAATATTACAGATGAAGTAGGAATTCCAGTGCTGTAGTTATGAGAACAATAATTGATAATAAATAAGAGATATAGCAAATATACTTCTAGGAAAATACATTGTAATGTACATGTTCACTAATCGGGTCTTTTACCGAATCGCCACTCAAAGAGGCACTTCTACTATAGTTTCATGCAAATAGTCACGAGACTGTTCGTGCTATCTGTCTGTTACACTCGCGAATGGACACATGCTACAGTAACATTTATCTAAGTAATATTACGATAATACGATAGCAACTCGATCGAAGTGCTGAATTGTTTAAGTCCTTTTCTTTACTTCAACAATCCCCTTCAGTTATGGAGTTCGCTGTTGTCGGTGTTGGTGACGTGGCGGAGTCCAGTCAACAGCATGCAATATTGACACTTCGGTCGTGGCAAGCGCTTGGTCAAGAAGTCCGCAGCCATTTGGCGAGCTTTAAAGCAAGGGTGCACTTTGGGGGGGCGGGGGGGGGGGGGGGGGGGGGGGGGGGTGTACCCAAAGGTTTATCACTTGCCTCTGATGGTTACCGGGTTTGGGGTTGGGTAAATGGGTGGCGACAGATATTTGCGCCAGCCCTGCGGAGAGTGACGGGGAGTTTCCCCCAACCCAACCGTGCGCGAAGGAACTGTTAGAATGAAAGAAACAGGAGTGGATGAACTAGCAGAAAGTTGGGTACAAGTAGGAAACCCTAAGTTTGTGTACCCCCTAAGGCTAAACCCACTATAGCCTACACAATGTAAACATGCAATATTTGACACACCCCCATAGGCGAAGTGGGAGACAACCAGAGGGTCACAAGACCAGTCAAAGCAAAGCAAAGCAAAGCAAAGCTCAGGGTGGATCTCAAGGATACCACACAAATTCCGAGCACAAGCAAGCGGTCACAAGACCAGTTCACATGCAGTTTGATAATAAACAACAGGTACAGTGATCACAACCTAGCAAGTGTAAGCATGCAGGTATATATATAGAGATCACAGTACAAGCAAAGTCAAGAAGTGAGCAAGTGAGGCACAGTAGGCACAAGGCCTAGAACAGTACAGAAACGCTGATGATCACAAGGCTGAAGCGCCTTGGTGAACACATCAGCAGTGTTGGCCCGAGTGGTCACGTAACGCAGACGAAGCTGACCACGCTGCTGCAGCTCTCGAGCAAGGAAGTAGCGCAGAGCGATGTGCTTCGTTCTGTGCTCCAGTCTGTGCTCCTGACACAAGGCAATGGCTGCCTTGTTGTCGACGTACAGCACTGGAGGAGAACGAGGCCGCTCTCCGAGGTCGGACAGCAGGTAGGTGAGCCAGCGTAGCTCCTGGGCAGCCATGGCTGTGGCGTAGATCTCAGCCTCACAACTGGAGCTGAGAACAAAGGAAGAGCGTGTAGAACGCCAGGAAACAGAGCCAGAGCCAAGACTGAAGGTGTAACCCTGAGACGACCGCTGAGTAGCCTGGTCGTCAGCCCAAGAAGCGTCTGAGTGTCCAGTGAGGACAACGTCGCGCCGTCCTCCAAGCACAAGCCCCATGCCCGACGTACTGCACAAGTAGCGCAACACCCTCTTAGCTGCATCCATGTGCTCCTTCCGGTGACGGCCAGGAGCGACATAGCGTGCTAGGGTGCTAAGGGGGTATGCAAGGTCAGGTCGAGTGCAGGTCATCAGGTACATGAGGCAGCCCACAAGCTCTGGATACGGGCCACTCGGCTCTACGGACTCATCCGAAGGCAGAGCTGAGAGCGAGTGACCGGTAGGCAGAGGAGTGGGCTGAGGCGAGGAGTACGTGAAGCGGAAGCGCTGAAGGACCTGCTGCACCATGTGTGACTGAGTCAAGGTGATGGTGCGCTGTGCTCTGTCCCGGGTGATCCGCAAGCCAAGATAGCTTGTCAGCTCACCCAGGTCTGTGCACGTGTGTCTCTTCTGCAGCTCCGACTTCACGTGGGCGAGTGCCTCAGTGTCAGCAGTAGCAAAGACCAAGTCGTCTACGTACACGAGAACGTAGAACGGCGGCAGAGTGGTGTCGGTGCGTAGAAACAGCGACGGGTCAGCAGTAGAAGGAGCAAACCCAAGAGCAGCAAGAGTAGTCCTCAGTGTGTCGTGCCACTCACGGGGCGCCTGGCGGAGACCGTAGACTGGCCGCCGGAGGCTCCACTGGGTACCAGCAGGGAACGACCCAGTGAAGCCAGGTGGGCGGCGCAGCCAGATCTCCTCGTGCAGGGAACGCAGTGCTGAAGTCAAGGCAGTGGAGCTTGTAGTCACGCTGAGCAGCGACGTGTAGCAGAACCCG